ATTCCATGACCTGAGCCACATTTAAATATAAACAACATTAAGATAAAAGGTTTTCTCTGCTTTCTAGACAATGCTGTGAGGTCCATAGATAGGAGGTAACTCAAAGGAGCATGTAATTCTGTTAGGATTTATTGAGTTCAGAGAAACAACAGCAAGAAAAGCTACATACAGTGACATCGTGGCTATTTCTACACGCCAGAGTCAGGACTTGACTAATACCCGAGTATTCAAAGGTGCATGGTGCATCCATTACAATAACACTGACATAGAACTTTCTCCAGTATTGGAGCTGTTGGTCTGTAGTCCAATGAGGTTCATTTGGTCTTCAAATAATTTATGTTATTAGGTTCTTCTTTCAGACTAAGAGTTTGTTTTCATACCTGACAGTTTGGAGTGCTCAATAGTGGACTGGCCACATAACAGCAACATCATGTGACCAAACTGAGGAAGACCGCTAGTGAGTAGTCGAAACTCCTGGTCTGTTGGTTTGAATTTGGTTTCTCTGCTCACACAGTTTTGTTTAACTTGGTCAGCTGTAGAGGCAGACCAATATATTGGTTGGCTGATATATCGGTCTGATTTTTTAGCATACTGGCTTTCTGCCTTAAATTCCCAGCATATGCTGATATTTAACTTTATATTATCAATCAGCTGACTAAAAAATACAATGTTTTTTATTAACATTTTAATACAAAGACGTTATTGCACAAAATGTGACTACACCACTCTTTTATAGATTTGTGGTAAAATGGGGGCTGGGGGGAATTTATAGTGAACTTAAATGACATACTTTGGGGAAAATAATAAAAATCGTCACAATACATTGGCCCAAAAATAACGGCAGGGCTTATCGGCCATTGGTTGATCTGGAGCCTAAACAATCAGTATCGTCATCGGCCATGAAAAATACCCTAGCAGTCGGTCCGTAGTCAGCTGTGAAAAGCATGGTATTTGATGTATGTTTTTTTGCCATGACAAAAATGCTACCTGGCTTCATATTGGTTCTAATCATTAATGTAAACAAATGTAAATTCCAAAGTTTTTAGATCACTAACCATCTCTCACCCTTATATGTCTGTGAAATAGACAGATACATCCAGTATGGCGCTGAATGCTCGGATATCTGTGCTGACTGAGCTGTGTGACGTTACTTGGTAAAAAACGATGGACTGACCTTGACATTTTGACTATTTAATCACATCTAAACCCCACCCACCAGTGTCTATCCTGGTAAACAAACCACCACAACAATAACTCTGACGCACAATACATTTATCAGCACGCAAAGGCCTCATGGCTCAGAAAATTGAAAATGGATCATCTTGATAGACCTTCCAAGAATGTGCATTGGTCTATGGTGTGGTGTCATCGCTGAATAACAGATATCAACCAACAGCATACAGCTATACAAATCAAATCACACAGCCTATGGCCAGAACAATTTCAATGTATATTAACATAGCAAGAACATGCATTATTTTCATTCTGGGAATTTGAGCCACAAGGCCAGTACACAAGGCACTGACTTTCACCTTGTGATGTAACTCAGTGAACTACACCATCAAGTCCCACTCCCCACATCTTTTTTTTTCTTCAAGAATCTTCATCTATCTATCTTCATCAGACTCATTCTGATTATTGCATGCACACACATAAGACCTTTACTCAGATACTCATAAGCAGATGTTGTTGTACAGAAAAAAAAAAAAAAAAGATGCAATTTATTGACTAGCCCATATCTTTTAAAAAGATCCTCTCTCTTCTCTTGATGCTAAGTAGCGTAATAAAAAATGCCTGAATGTTTTGTGAAGTTGTCCTGTGCTTAAACACCTTTGACCCAAGAGATAATCACAGATAATGCACCCAAAGCTATGATAATGAATCACACTGTAATGTCCACCATTCGGTTCTCCAAAGCCACATTTGCTCAACAACTGTAGCCCGGTTTATGAGCTAATTAGCTAATGGTAGCTCCTCACGCCGGTGGCCTGCCTCTTAAACCAATCACAGCCTGCGATTCTTGATGCATGAGGTCCATATTATAACGGGTCGCGCTGCCTTAATGGCTCAGAGTGGAAGCGCTGTGATGCCCTGACTACTCACTCTATCTTCCTCCCCCGTTCATTTGTCAATTCTGCTAACTCATCATTTCTCTTTTGAACATATATTTCTCGCTGTGTTTTTAATAGCTTCGTCTGGCCTCTCATTTGTTTTGTCTCTGTCTTTGTTAACGCGCGGCTCCATCTCTTGGACTAATCTAAACTAGCAGTTGTGGGAGTGGAAGATGCTGTGTTTGACTGATGTAGGTGTCTCCTTTCACTTCACTCAGAGCGCCCCGGTGCAACTATTGATTTTCCAACTACATTATTTAATATATCTACTTCATATCTTGCTTTTATGAATAATAACAACATGCATGGATGGTTTACTGCCCGGGTCAACAGGAAAAAAACACAAAAAGGCATTTGCTATAGTTTATCTGCAGCCATTGCCTTTCACATGGCAGTCAGCCCCAAGTCAAGATTAAGGGAAAGGGTGGAGGGAAGGGCATCTGGTGTAAAAAGGTAGGCTATATCTAAATATATCACAATCTATTCACACCAGTCACAGCAAACAAGAAGCCTCTTGATTTTCGGTGGCAAAAACCATTAAGGTAAGAATATATTACAAAACAAAATAAAGTTACTTAAAACAAAACATTTATCAGATTCTGACCAAAATTAGTCTTAGTCAAATTTTAATGATTAATTAACTACTGAATTACTTGGGCACACTTGCTTAAGTTTTGAATGAATCTTAAAGACAAATCATGCTTTTTTTTTTTTATTATTTAGTATTCAACTATGACATAACAGTGTCATCATTTTACATGTTGCTCTTGCAGTAATATTGGTTTATTATAGAAACTGGTCCATTACATAATGAGATGTCCTGCCTCTTCATGAAGCTATTTCACTGTAGCAAGTCACAGACATTCATTCATGCATTTTTATTGTTGGAAAATGGCTAATTGACTTTTTGAAACCTATGCATATTTAAATAACCACATCTACAGAGCAGTGGGTGGAGATAGGGGCGAGGTGAAAACTGGAGCCGCAAATACAGGACAATACAGGACAATACATGATTACTCAAACATGAATGAATTAATCACAATACTCTGAGTGAAGCAATAATGAGGGAACACCTTTATAACATGATTAAAAGCTCATAATAGTTCATTTTACATTATAGGCTCCCCTCAATAAAAAGTCAAAGTTCCGACATAGCAATAGGGAACACTTGTGTTTACATTAAAGGAGTTTTTTGACCCAGTGTACAATACAAATTTAAACCTGAAAAAACAGCCAAACTGGGGAAGACAATATAATTTTTTTGGTAAAATTTTCAGTTTCATGATTGTAACATTTTAACCTGTCATATGCACCTACAACAATGACAGTACTACACAGTACTGCGTCTGAGCATATGTGCATTGTATCCTTGAAATCAAGAAAATAATACAAGCTAAGATATTGACCATGACCTTTTGTTAAACCACTCCTTTTCAACACATCACAAAAGCCATTTTCCAAGCTGTAAATAACCCAACTCAATGCCACACATAGTACAACTACAAATCACAACCTTAAAGGGCCCATATTACACTATTTTATGATCTGTGTTACAATGTTGTTTTCTCATCAAAAAGATTTCCAGAGTTGTGTTTTGTTTCATTCACACATGTTTAACACATAAATCCTGCAAAAATCCTACTGAAAACACTCTGTTCCACCTTGTGATGTCATGTAATACAGGAAATGCCTTTACATATAATACATATATTTCAATTTAAGCCCTGGAATTGCCGATCTCTACAGAACAAAAGGTAAAGGGCAGCTCTTAACTTGAAAACTACCACTTCAGAGCATTTTGAGCTCTGGAGCTGCAGACAAACTAATAATAAAGGATTACTAAAACATGTGCGAATGAAACAAAACAAAACTCCAGGTAAGCTTTTGATTTGATAACAACATTCTGAGATGACTAAAGGCTCGAAAGAGTCAGTTTTGTGTAATAGGACCTTTAACTGTTTTATTCATAAAAAAGTGCACCACTGATTTCTGGCCCCTGCTCGGTGTCACATTCCTGTTGACTGTCATGGGAAAGCATCCAACAGCGTCAACAGCCAGAGCAGCTCACAAAGGCAGATACAAAAGCAGATAAACAGGGCCTCACTTCTTGGCAACATTAGGGCCTCACCACAGCCTAGTACTACATCTGCTGCAGCATGTATGTGTGCGTGTGGGGAGAATGTAAGAGAAAGAAGAAACTGAACATGGATGATGCCAATGAAGAGATCAAAGCAGCAGTGATTGACCCAGACGCCGTGTCAGTGGCAGAGGTCCAGGCCCGCTCTGGAGGAGGAGCAGAGGAGGAGAGGAGTCTGCTAATGATGTGAAAATGTCTCTCGTTAAATCATAAAACTCTTCCTTAAAGTAAACCTTTGCTCTCTTACATGCAACACACATGGTAAACCCGATATTAAAGTCTTAAAAATACCAGAGGCTGTTACTCTTCTGCATCGGGCTCTATCTGGTCCTAAGTAATTTGGCCTGGTATTTTTTATGTGTATTTAATATTTTCAATTGAATATAACAAATAAATTGGATTAAACCATAGGGGGCTTTAAGGGTTGCAGTAGTTAGTATTATTAACCAAATTAGCATTTTAGGTGAAACAATATAATTATACCTACAGTATTCCTTCGCCATAATGGTCACGTTTTCTTTAAGGAAACTCACAGTTTTCGAGGCTGAGAGAGAGTGTAATGAAACATTCTGTAATAACAGGCTATATGTCTATTGTAGTAATTAAGGTAATAGAAAAAAACATTAAAACTCCATTGTTAGCTCATGGCTAGTATGTATCACCGGCACATGTAATCATATGTAATCATATAGAATGCTTTAGTGTATTCTGTCCATAAAATACCTTTAGTTGTTGTGTGTGGTGCTTACCTGTTGTTGTTCCTGAGTTTGACGTGGCCGCCCGGCTCCAGGATCTGTCCGTTCTTGAGCCAGGTGAGCTGAGGCTCTGGCTCACCCTGGGCTTGGCAGGTGAAGATGGCCGTGGTGCCCACCGGTCTGGCGATGGACTGGGGGGGCTGGATAAACTCTGCTGGAGCTGAGACACAGACACAAACACAGGCTGGCATCACTCCTAATCCCACAACTGCAGCCAAAGCCCCGGATATCTGCTGAAAGAATTCTTGGTACAAAATACTATTTATGGTGTACTTCTGAATTGGAACTTATTTTCTTTTTCTAAAATTGTTTTAAACCAAGTGCAACAAACTAAACCTCAAAACATAAGGAGACGACGGAGAGATGCTCTATGAAAAGAAGTGGACATGAAAATCCATCAGTGTCTTGGTTGAGATTTAAGTATAGCAAAACATAAACAGGCTGTTAACCACAAAGGTGCATACATATACACCCATATCAGAAAGATTACACTGCAGTTTTATTATAGGCTTTATAGAGGAATTTTGCAATATTGCACATATCTTCCACCTCTGCTTCAAGTCTTCCCATTTAACTAGAGCAGAAATGCATTACTTAGCAGTTTGCAGATGTTGAAAGGTCAGGAAAACAAAATGCTCAAGCGCCTCTAGAAAGCGTTATAACTGAAAGCAAAAGTCTAAAAGTGAAATTACATGAATCGGTTACTAAATTAATTTGATGACTCTTAGCTGGGGGCTTACAGCTGCGCTCGATTAGCAGCAGTAGCTCATTTTTAAAGAAAGGTTTAGCGAGAACAGCCGGTACTTTAATGCAGAGATACCAGCATTGACAAAGTAATTAGACCTACATGAGAGGAAGTTTAATTCCTGGTTCTGCACCTTTATTGAAGCTGACGGACAAAAGACCAACTGTATCATCTTCTTTGTACTCATTATTGTCCCAGAGGTTATCAGTGATTTGATAAGCTGAATTATGCATGCCCACATTAGCTGCGGAAATATGTTATGTTAATTAAGATATCTCTAAAATAATCGCCACTGGAGGGCAGGGAGAGGAGGTGCTGGCGCTGTCAGACACTATGAAGAAGCCTGAGCCAAAAGCTTGTGAATGCAGTCGTTGGACACCAGCCAGTCAGCCAGAGCATCTCCAGGCTAATTGTGAAATCACTGCTTCAACACAGATGCTGTTGGGAAAAAGCACTTTCGAGGGCGGTTTAGATTAACCAGGAAGCGAGTAACATCTTTCAACATGTTTGGAGCGCGCTAACAACTGGTATCAGGAGACTAGCTTTTCTGTTCTGATGGTACATTTTTCCTTAGTGTGAGATGCATAGACTGTATAAAGAAGTGGACTAAGGGAATGCGACGTCACCATAGAGTTCGGCTCCAGTCAAATGAAGCTCACAATGCTGGGGTTTATAAGAGTGAATTTGGAGCTGAGTTTCATATTAGAAAAAGGAATATATTTACAGACAAAATAACAAAAATAAAAACACCAGGATCATGTAGAGTGGGTTAATACAAACATTTTAAGACCAAAATGACAAGGCTCACTGCAGTTGTTACATAGAGAGGGGTGACAGTTGTTCAATGTAAAGTCAATTGTAGCCAGAGTCGATGGAGCTGGAAGCGCCCCCATGATCATGTGATCATATGGCTGTATACATACATATATATGTATGTATACAGCCATCAGGGTTGAGCAATGTCATATGGCTGGTCGTTATATATTGTAATGTATATAGAGAAAATATGAAAACTACTCTAATAATGAAAAGAATGAAACTTTAATAGCCCAAAACAAGTAAGCACAAATATTATAGAAGTCACCTTTAAGCAGCACCTTTTTTAGACATATGGCCCTGTCCTAGATACCATATGTGATTCCACAGCTAAAGTAATCTATCCACAGGTACACAAAGAGTAACCTTGAACCTTAAATGTTAATACACGGCTGGAATAAGCTTTGACGCCAAAATGTTCCCTAGTGGCATTTCAGGTTGTGTATGATTGATTTGTTAATGTTGTCTCTGCCTACACAGCTGCCTTCAACTCATAATTTCATGTTACTGTTTTCTTTCTTTTCTTGCCAATGACCTTTTAACAAATGTTATGTAATATCTGATATGTATATACATTCAATAGAAACAATAACATGACCTCTGCCACAACATGCATCATGCACGGCAGCATTACACAGGCCCAGCAGTCTCTTTGTCCTAGTGTCACATATTTAGACATTGTTGATACACAATCATATAACTAAAAGGTAAATCATACAATATATACATAAATTGTGTAGTAAATTGTGTAGCCTATATGAACTGGCAACCTATTTCATTTTTTATTTGATTCAGAAAGTTATTTATTTCAGAGATCTACAATAGTAAAATAGTAAATGTTTATTGTTCATGCAAATAATAAAAAGTTTTAAGCATTAATAACGATAAATTTACATTACTTCAATGTTAATGGTATATTTTAATAATATATACATAAATATAAATATAGTAATAAATAATATTTTAAAGAAGTTATAAAAATTATTGAGAATCTAACATAGGGAGTCGAATTGTGACGTGCTCTAAAGATGCATTGTCTAACTTTTCTGGTGGAGGGTCTGTCAAATGCTTTTTTCCATAGAGATGTTATTGCTCTGTCTGGAATGTTCCACAGAGTGGTATTAAACCTTTCTGTCTTCATGGAGACCAAACCAGACCAAGTTACAGGTCAAATCACTGCCCCCAATCAGAATGCCTGTTTTTCTATGTATTTTTTAGCTATAAATCTACCTGTAATTCATGCATTTTATATATTTTTTTTTTATTTGTTAAAAAAGTATACAGATGTACTATATAATAACAGTGTAAAATGAATAGCTAAGATAAGAAAATTCAACATGGATTATTAACTATTAATCATTAACTATGATTATTTTATTTATGATTAAAATTCAGTGTGACATATGACATATAAGATTACAAGCATCCATACACACATCCATCCTGATACTGTGCTACTACGAGCCTTTTAACACTAAAGTAACTTAATTATTTACAGTGATGGCCTTGGTCTGAATTGTGACTGACACAGACCTGCAGCACTCTGTTTTCACAAACCAACTGATGCGATCGTATCTCTCAAATAAGTTTCTTTTATGGACAGCTTGATCAATTCATCACATGATTTCTTGTTTGCTCCTCTGTCCTTCTTCATCCACTGCACCCTAAAGACAAAATGGCCCCTGACAGTTCCCCGATGTAAGCGTTTGGGCAGTCCTGGTATAGCCCGTGCTGTGGCCCTACGGCGACTGAATGGGGGCTGCTGACAGTGTGTGATAGCTCATTCATTTATCTCCCTCTTTATTCTCATTTTCTCAGCGTGTCTTTCTGTTCTTTGAGGCCTGTCTCAAAGGTGAAGGTCACTGGGAGCTAGGGGAGGATATTGATTTGCACCTGTAAGGCTCTGGGTTAGATCAGCAGACCAGTCCATCCATCTTGCTCTTGTTTTTTTCTCTTTTGGCCCAAACACCATATCGGCTCCTCCCAGCGCTTTTGTTTCACCCGTCTGGCTGTGGTTCCCCATCGGAACTGAGATGGAGCTAATGGATTTACTGTAGTGTTGCATTTGGGGTTGGTGTTTGATAGTTTCATCAGTCAGTCTAGTTTTAGAACCAATATTTGTGCGTTGTTTTGGTTTGAAAGGTTTTATTGAATACATCATAAATGTCACAGATAAACTTCAGCCTGGCCAGCTAGCCTGGCCAATCCTTATTGGGAAAAAGTAAAAAAAATGTTTGAATAAATATGCCACTTCTTGCCTATTGCTCTATTATTCAACTGATTAAAGTTTAAATAAAGTTACTTGTATATATTTATGATGACACTACAAGCAAAAAGTGTTATTTTCAATACCAATTAATTGCTCTGGTTGATTTAAAGTATGAGGGCAGAATTTTGATTATGGGGAGCCACAACAGTGTCCTCTACTAATGGGAAACGCTGTCATCAAGAGGTACATTTATTTCTTTGCCAATTTTAGAGCCCATAGAATGTACACTGTTTTGCCAGTATATATTTTAATAACTCTGGAGCCGTGGTGCTCCAGAGTTAAAATCTATGGGGTGTTCTTGACCCAGAATATGATTTTTATATTAACAAAATGTAACAAGTTATGTTTGTTCATGTATTTGTGATAAAAAATATTCTTTGAAAGCTCCTTATTTTCTGATTTACGTTATAATGTTGTTTCCTCATCACAAACATACTTGGAGTTGTGTTTTGTTTCAGTCACATATGTTTAACACATAACCTCTGACTGTATATTTAGGCTGAGTTCTTCTCTCAAACTGACAACACTCTGTTTCACCTTGTGATGTCATGCAGGAAGTGTCCCGTTGTGTTTTTAAACTCCACTACACTTTCACTAGACTCATTTGGATACTTTCAATCTCTACTGAGCTAATGCAAAGGTAGCTGTCATGACATCACATTGTGCATCAAAGCAGTTTGAGTTTTGGAGATGTAGACATCCCAATTACTCCAACATGTGTGAATAAAACAAAACACAACTCCAGGTATGTTTTAGAGTAAGTAACATTATAATGTCTTAAATCTCACAAGAGTCAAATTTGTCTCCGTATGAGTTAACTGTATAGCCTTTGTGTGGAAACATCAATAACAAAAACAAAGACATTAGCACCTAATTAACATCGGTGGCATGTCCTCTTTGTAGCCGCTTGGAAGGAGGGTCCTGTCTGTGAGTTGATGGGCAGATAAAATGAACTATTGATCAGGATCAGTGCAGCTCTGGGCCCAGGCGAAGTGTGGCCTCTCTGATCAATATGAGAGAAAATCAGTCGCCCGAGATTTCCTTCTTGGTGACAATTAATGCACAGGGCCACCCACAGCTGGGCCCACGCACATGTCCGAACCCATCAGCCTGCTCATTGTGATTCATCAAACATCAGGTCCACATGTGGGAGAAGTCACATAGGCAGAACAGCGTGATTTAATGCATATGTTAGGACCAAAAGGGAGTGAGGTCATAAGGGCATACTAAAAAGACTTTCAATAATCAATATGATGGTTTCAATCAAGTTGTTGTGGATTAATTACATTAGATTTCAGCATTCGGTCATGCGTTTTTTTCAATTACGTTTTACTATTAAAGGTGCATTGTGTAACTTTTCTGGTGGATAGTTTGTCAAATGCTTTCTAGAGAGGGTATTGCTTTTTCAGGAATGTTTTACAGTATGGTATTCAAACTTTTTATCTTCATGGAGACCAAACAGTTACGAGTCAGATCTGTGGAGAGGCCAGCCCAACTCACTGTCAGAATGCTTGGTATTTTTGAGCTATAAAACCACCTGTAATTTAATAAATAAGATATTGGTATTGATATTGTAAAAGTAGTGCTCCGTTAAGCATGAATAAAAGTAGAAAAACAGGCGACCCTTTTAATAAATGAACCGATGCACTGGGAATGTCTTTAGTCCACCAACAATGTAGTGCATACTTAAGCCTGTACCTAAAGGCATAAGGGGAATGCACCCTGGACAGTGTTTTGTGTTTAATCCATCACTTGACTAACGTTTTGTATGGTATAGAATAATAGTATTTTGCCTAGTCCAAATTTTATGTTACAGTTAAGTTATTCCTATGACCTAAAACTATCAAATATATTAAAGTGATTTCACACTGACCTTTACAACACTGGCTAGAGGCATTCCCAAAGCAAGGGGACCAAACGCACTTCCAAACGTACATTATTTTAATACCCTGCCCTTTTGTCTGCACTAATTCAGAGAAGACATAAAGTAGGTTAAATTTATGCAAAACCTTTAAGTCTCTCAGATCTGCAACTCCCACTACTTCGAAGTTAAGAACTAGAGTGAATTTAATCACCACCCACATGAATAAAACGTGGCAAGAAAAGTTGTCAAGTTTGCCAAAAAGAGTCAGATAAAAAGTTAATTCATCTAATATCTGCACTCCAGGAAAGATATTGGCAGGGTGGGTGTTTTACTCTTTGGAAAGTTCTCTTAGATATTTTGAAACTCTGAACTGAGAATCATCTGGGTTTGGGGAATTTTATAGCAACTTTTAATACATTAATCTTACCTTAGTTGGATATATTCAAGTCTAAAAATGTCAAAAGAATATCTGATACATTTGCACTATGTTTTAACTCTTGCATACAATTGATATTTTTAAAGGGCTTATATTACACTATATTCTAATCTATGTTATAAGGTTTCCTCAACAAAAACAAGCTTGGCGTTTTATTTTGTTTCATTCACACATGTTTAACACAAAAACCCAGAATATTTAGGCTGAGTTCTTCTCTCTTCTTTTGAGATGTAGACAGACTAATAATAAAGGATTAGTCAAACATGTGTGAATGAAACAAAACTACAGGTATGTTTTTGATTGCAATATGTCTTAAAGCTCATGAGAGTAAATTTTGCGTTTAAGCCCTTTACATCTGAAAAACAGACTGTGCATTATAGCAGGATATGCACTTCGACGAGTATGAATTTGTGATACTAAATCCATATGTATTTGCTTATGGTTGTTATCTATAGACTAGTTTTAGTAGTTGAGCTCCTTCTGTTCTGCTTTGATATTAGCTGTGGGGCCAAGGGGGCACTTTAATCCCATCTCTGACTTCCCTGTGCCCGTGTGAGCTGTGTGCTGCCGACTGGGCGTATGAAGATGGGAGATTGGACATACTGGGCAGGCTTTTACGTCCTCCAATGTAATTCATGGTAATACGGCTTCATGTATGGTGTGCACTGGGTTGAAGATGCCAGAGCTGTAACATTATGCATGCTTTCTGATGTATCTGCAGAACATATTATACCCTTTAGCAGATGTTATCAATATTCCATTAGGGGGTGAAGCTAACTGGAGGCACTGCTCTGTCTGAAGTTCAGTTACTCAAGTTAGACTTAAATCTGAGTACAATTTGTATAATTTGACCAGAAGGAAGTGCTTTAGTTGGAACAACAACTGAGGCTTTTGCTCTGTTAAACAAGTCCCTGACGAATTACATAGACCGACAGTTTTTCACTCTTTTAGTTGCAAATCAAAAACAAAAACAGGATCATGAACATTCTGCATTTTGTGTGCATTGTGTCACCATGGTAGCTGCAGAAGATTCCTACATAGACGTAAATGCAGTCTCCCCTAAACATTCTTAAACATGTTCCTGTACATTTTATTTCATCCCAACTATAATCTCTACCATACTAAAGTTGTTTTCTTGGACTCACCTTGAACCACCAGTCGTCCCTGAGCGGTGCGGCGGACTCGAGTGCCCGGTTTACTGGCGGCGCACACATAGACCCCTGAGTGCTGCACGCCCACGTCCGAGATCATCAGGTTCCCTGTGCCCAACACCTGGATGCCCTCCACGCCGATGGGACGCCCATCTACAGCAGGACACAGAGAGGGTGGTGAGATTTACAGTAAATGCTATAGGCACTGACTGTATAAAGAATTGGACTAAGGAAATCTGACGTCATCTACAGCATTCGGCTCCAGTCAAATGAAGCTCATGAGGCTTGCAGTGATAAGAATTTGGAGCAGAGTTCCATATTAGGAATAGGAATTTATTTGCAGAAAATTTACATACTGTAGAAAACCTATAATGAGCAGAGGGTGAACACATTTTTCCCTTAAAAGGTGCACTGTGTATTTTAAGTCTTCTGGAGAGTCTACCACCAACTTGTCTCCATGGAGATGTTAACGCTTTGCAAGAAGGTTCCATGGTGTGACATTAAATCTTAAAGGGCCCATATTACACTGTTTTCTTTAAAGTAGTATCTCCTTGGAGACAAGAAGATGGTGGAAACGAAGCGGGTTTGTCTGTTTATATGCAATCCTGTGGGTATTGATGATTAAAAATAGTCTGTATCTTCTCCTATGATAAATTAATCGCTATCTGTCTGATTAGTTGTTGTAGGAAGTGTACAGCCGTCATACAGAGTCAGTTAAAAGGAAAAACTAATTAGGCAGTGGTCATCAGATGTAAAATAATTTAATAAAAAAGTAAAAGTGTAGAGCCAGCAAATGTCAATGCCCATGGAAATCTACCAGTTGAGTATGCTCAAAGTGTTGAATTAAGTAAATGCTGGTTCCAACAGAGATAAGTGATTTGTATCTGGTCTTAACATTTTCTCTTTAGTAAGTAAATCTATAACTTACCATAAATGTAGAACAAAATAATAAACGATAAATAAAATACAGCTGAAAAAACAACTCTGCTTTTCCTTTGATCCTGCGTAGCCCTGGTGCAAAACTGAGCTAAACTCCTAAACAAACAGTGTGTGGAGGTAGATTGCTTTCATCCAGTTACTGTACACAGGGGATGCTTGAGCAGTCACTGGAGACCACAACTATAACTGCTACTCCTAATCTCTTATCTCCTCACCCAATCCTGGCTGCTTCTGTACTTACATGATAAACTCACACTTTCCTCAGCCTCCTATCTGCCATCGTACGCACAACAATGACTTGGGCCTGCTTTTGATATTAGCTGTGGGGCCAAGGGGGCAATTTAATCCCATCTCCGACTTCCCCGTGCCTCTGTGAGCTGTGTGCTGCCAATTGGGCGTGTGAGAATGGGAAGATTTCTGGACATACAGTGGGCAGGCTTTTAAGTTCTCCAATGTAATTCCTGATAATATGGTTTAATAGATTCTGCGGCAAGGGTGAAAACATTATGTATGCTTTCTGATACTGGGGCTATCTGTAAATGTATAAACACACACACACACAGTACACTTCTAGCTTGTCATTTTAGTATTTGCAAAGAAAGTCTCTGTGCACAGCAACATACTAGCTAGCACACAGTAAGTAAAGACTACTCAATTGTTTTAAAATGTTGAATATTTCAGTTTGTGGTGTTGTTTTAATATTTTTATGCTCTAAAATTAGCATTGGCATTAGCACTGAGACACAAACCTCTACATTTCTAAAAGAAGAAGTATGTACTTTTTTGTGTGTACTTTTTAACATCAGTCACATCGACCCACAGTTAACTGTTGACTGCCTTAGCTTTAAATATTTATTCATTTTAGCACGACTCAGCAAAAACCCCATAGAGATAAAACTGGACAGGACGTAGTGACAATAATGTTGTCGGTTGCCGGGCGCAGTTGTGCACAGAGCCTATAAGGTGTACATAATTTAGTACTGGACTATGCTATTTAAAGGAAATGTATGATGCCTACAATCATGTGAAAGCTCAGAACCTCCAGACTTTGAGCTGCAGAGGCAGCACTAGCTCTCATTCATGACTGGCTGCAGGTGCTGGGGCTTAGGGAGCGAGGATTCAGCTCAGAGAGGATCCTTTTAGATGAGAGAATGAGAGACTTATGTGAGGCTCATTCTGATTTTTGATTGGATAATCTAACTAAAACTCATGTCCAAAGTTTTTATAACCAAGAATAAATCAGCATTACAATTGTTATCAGTAAAAGCTATATTTGATTTGGACATGTTTACCTCGTAACATTAGGGGACACGGTTAGGTCATGTTTATGAAATTTAAAATCAAAATCTTACATACAGTTCTTTCAATCTGATTCTAACAAGTAACATCTTAAACAATTATGCATCTTATCATTGGATTTGTCTAACTAGAGCTCAAAACAGAAGATAAAGAGACCTTATCAGAGCCTTCCGCAGCGTGATTCACAAAGCGGCCATTAAATCCTTTAGACATAATCAATAAAGGTGAATGTCAGTCCGTGCTGTGGAGCCGGGTCGAGCTGAGAGCTTTTGTCTCATGTGAAAAATACTGCAGTTTGGCTGGACAGATTGTAATCGGAGATGATAGATTGTGAGGAGGCACATATTCATAATTAATCGTGACAAATTATTGAGATGAAATAAATCACATCTTGTTGGCACCAAAGTCCCTTTCATTGTCTGACAAGCTTGTATTTTATTGAAATGTATGCGTTTCCCATTATCTCAGACACCAAGTCCAGGCATACAGGAGAGGGACGTCTTTGTCAGAACAAAAGTGGGCTTGTTCTTTCCTTGCCTTTATAAGGACATTTTCTCATCCTTCTTTAAGCTTTTTCCGTCAGTTTCTCAGAGTCGGGCCTTGCTAATTAACTTAGTGTCAGAAAAGAGGGAGCGCAAGCTAGCAGGCGGCTCTGCTACTCAATGAATAGCAGCAAACAAACTGTGGCATTAAGGAGTGACTGATGTGAAACTATCAGATTCATTATGCAGCTTATCCCAGCCTCCCTGCTGTAATCTAATTCATACAAATCCTATCGTGTTAGCTTTTCATTCTAGCAACATTGTGTAAGGCAATACCCCCAATCTGATTATGCCTTAGTGCGAGGGGGAGGGGCGGCCATTTACATTCGGAGCAGCAAATAAGATTGGATAATAGGTAAAGAAAATAGATAGCAGATTGAAAAATTGGTCACGACAGACTGTGAGTGATAGTCAAGGGAGGAAATGCAGAAAACTCATTGTATCTGTCTCTGCACCTCGTGGCTATTACTCAGCAGTAGCTTTAACTTCATGACCAGATGAAGCATGAATTTATCAACACGCTGGCGAACACAGAGCTAAGCCCCAAGGCGCAATGCTGGATTCAATGTATACACAATTGGAAGTTTGAGCATGGGAGCATTTTGGAACAGTGCATTAGTCCAGGAGATTGCTGTTGCTAAGAGGCAGCAGTGGTATGTGGATACAGTAGTGTAAAGACTCACTGGACACAGAGCTCATTAAAGGGTCCATACTATGCTATTTTCTAATCTGTGTTATAATTAGGGGTGTGCATATATATATCGTACCGTTTAATGTGATGATACTGTATCGTTATCGTGGGCTGCTGTATCGATATATATCACCAAGACAAATTTTTTATTTATTTTACTTAATTATTTTGTGACAGAGCTACAGTTTTTTGATGATTAAAATGGACATGTTTTATATTCCCTTTGCACAATAAGAGGTTTAACAAAGACTTTTAGTATCACAGCTATGATTGTGATAGCTATATTTTTTTTACTGAACCGTTTCAAATCGTTTTGAAACATATATCGTATTAAATCAAAAGTGCACTGTATCGAGATATGTTTCGTATTGTGGCCTTTGTATCGAGGTATGTATCGTATCGGCAACTTCTTACTGACACCCAGCCCTAGTTGTAATGTTTCCTCAACAAAAAAATACCTAAAGTTGTGTTTTATTTCATTCACAAATGTTTAACACACAAAACCTGCGTATTTAGGCTGAGTTCGTCTTTCAAACAGAAAACACGCTGTTCCACCTTGTGATGTCATGTGTGCTACTTTGTGTTTTTAAACTCCATATATCTTCATTTGTATCATTTGGATAATTTCAGCCCTGAAATAAAAAAGGTAACTTGAAAATTACCGCTTCATGACATCACAAGTTGAACAGAGTATTTTGAGCTTTGGAAATGTAGACTGACTTGTACTTGTAACTCTTGTAAATGAAACTAAATACAACTCCAGGTAAGTTTTTGATGAAGTAACAAAACTATAACTTGACTTAAGGCTCAGAAAAATCTATCTAATCAAGTGCTCTAAATGAAAAATCCAAACTTGTTGAGATAATAAAAGTCACAGTATTCTTCTCATATTGATTCATCACAATTTTTGGTTTGGTTTTCTTAAAACTACATATACAATACAAATCATTTTCAATATTAATTTCTTTGTAGACACTGCAATTTAACACAAAAAAACTGTCAAATTTCTTTCTCCAAACTCTGAACTCTGCTCCACACCACATGCTTTTTACTGACATAGGATTGACTCTATACCTCTCAATTTAAAAGACCTAAGCTAATCATTGGCTATAAGAAACAAGTCTTATTTCAATTAAAATGTGATCAGCTGTACAGCCCACACTTGGCAATAGTTCCAACATCTTTGGAAGCATTGTGAAAGCTTTTTCCCATTAATGTACTACTTGAGAAGAACGATGACAAGTCTTCAGTAATGGCCACTCATAGTGCACTCATTTGGCATATATAGAGTAAAATGCTCATGGTTGATTGCAGTAAATGACTCAATGTGTCTTCTTGCTGCAGGAAAAAATAGGTATTTATGCAACAACATAGCTTAGTAAATCTGTAAAGATGTTTAAATTTACCAGCAAAAATACAAGATTCAAGATTCCAACAACTTTAAAGCATGCTATTCATTTACTATCCTATTTCACACAAAATTTACTCTTGTGAGCTTTAAGTCATGTTGTTACTCCACAAAAACATACCTGTGGTTGTGTGTTGTTTCATTCACACCAGTAATCCAGGTTTATTAGTCTGTCTACTTCTCCAACGCTCAAAATGCTCTGTTCCACCTTGTGATTTCATGAAACTGTAGCTTTTAAGTTAACAGCTGCATTTACCTTTAGTTTAGTAGAGACACGCAATTCCAGGGCTGATCCAAATGATTCCAGTGAAGGTGTATGGAGTTTAAGAACATTTGTGTGTTAAACATGTGCGAATGAAACAAAACACAACTCGAGTTTGTGATGAGAAAACATTATAATATAGATAAGAAAATTGTGAAATACAGGTTCTTTTGTTGTGGTTGTGTAGTATTCTTGGGTACTTATGTTGAGATATAAAGCATTTAATAATTAGTTCTTTTCGTTTTCATTTAAATTAACCATACTATTCAACTAACACCAACTCTTAATGATATTCACTGTTGTTTTGCCCCAGGACTTCTAGTGGTATATGTTGGTGATGCCATACTGTGAGGCCTTTAAGACACTGTATACATTTACATGGGCAGTAAAAATCAGATAAGTAGAATAACCATATAACCCAACAATTATATCTGGTTTTGGTGTGTTTTTACATGCACAAGAGAAATCTGATCTGATCTTGGAGCTGTTGTGTTTAATTCGCACATGTTTGAATATCCCTTTATTATTAGCTTTTCTACATTCCCAAAGCTCACAATGCTTTATTCCACCTTGTGATGTCATGAAGTGGTAGTTAACAGCTACCTTTTATCTTTTGTACAGTAGAGATGGGCAATTCCTGAGTTTGAGAGAAGAACTCAGCCTAAATGTGCAGAATTTGTGTGTTAAACCTCAGCTCCAGGTATGTTTTTGATGAGGAAACAACATTATACCATAGATCAGAAAATAGCTTAATATGGGCCCTTTAATCATCAGTAGATTTTAGAATAACAGTTGTTTGACTTGAATTTTAAAATAACTCATTCAATCTTTAACCTTATCAAAAAATTCTCCAAAAATAGTTTGTAGTGTGCATGTGAACATAGCCACGGACCCATCCCCTCCACACTGCAACACACTGTATATGGGACAACACTGGTCATACCTAGTCTGCTCCAGGACACGATGGGCCGAGGGTATCCCGTGGCAATGCACTCCAAAATGGCCGTCTGGTGCACGGTGAGGGTAAGGTTCTCCGGGCCGACCAGGATCATGGGCTCTTTGTACACTGAGGACTGGGAGGCTGCAGACAGGAGAGGGAGCGGACAGCAGCGGTGAGTTTGGTGCAGGGCATGCTTTAATTGGATTTCTCCACAGAGCATTAACTCAGTGTACTGTATCTCTGCCATCGGACAGGCCAACAATGAAACCCTGAAAAAATGCTGTAGCAGATAAAGAAGAAGAATGGGCCTAGCTGTATTCTTGTGATGATGGTAAGAGAAGAGAGGCGTTTCAAGGCTGATTCACACATGCTATTAACAGTAAATGAAATGCACTGTATGTAGGACTTGTGTGGCTTTATTGAGCGTACCTGAAATAGTAAGGAGAGCCTCTGTGCTGTGCTTGACTCCAGCGCTGTTATGGGCCACGCAGCAGAACCTCCCCCTGTCCTCCCCCCGCACCCCCGTGATCTGCAGCACGCCTGTGGGCAGCAGCGTGTACCTGCACAACAGCAACGCAGTTATTATCATGGAGGAGAAATGTACCTGAACCATTTAAACGAAAAACAAAAGCAAAGCGGAAGGGGGGAGAATATGATTGCAATATCAAATTCTCCTATGATATCTTTGAATTTCCTATGAACCCTTCCTATGAATGTACTGTTGTGGATTAAGTGATGCAATGATTAAAACTCCATAACCAAATTATCATTTGCTGGTTTCTAGTCCTTAGTCGTTTATTTGATTAACTGGTTGATGGTGTCTTAGTTGAAATTTTATTAGTGGACTGATCATCAGAAGTTACTTTAGTGGATGAGTTGAAGATTTGGTATTTATTTTATGAAGGCAAATTAAACTCATGATTCACAAGTTCACATGTCTCTATATAAATACATTGTTTCCTCTTTGTTGTTTTTGCTGTAGTCAGATATATAGAAATATGTTAATTTCTTTAGTCAGCTACAGTCCTACTGCTTTGTCAGTATATGTCTCCAAGAGAATTTAAAAGGTTAAGCCTCAATAACAAAAATTATTCGTGTGTGTGATTGGTCATTATTGGATGGGGTAATGACACAGATTGGCAGCCTCGCTTCTGTCAGTCTACCCCAGGGCAACTGTGACTACAATAGTACTTTACCACCACAAAATATGGAGTGAATGAATAATGCATCATTGTAAAAAAGTATGAGACTACTGTTAAATTCTTGTTGCATGAGTGATTTAAGTGACAGCATTTAGTTTGGCCCTGTGTGCTTAAATCTATCTCTTCACCATAGACACTTATTGCTGTTTGCTGTCTGAACTTTGACCCCACCTCTTGTCACCGGTGTCCACAGGGTGTCCGTCTTTCTCCCAGCTGATGACAGGCTCAGGCAGCCCGTGGATCTGGCACTGAAACCGGGCCACTCCTGCTTCTTCTGCCTGCACCGACTCTGGCTGGACATGGAAGTCTGCCATAGCTGCAAGACACAGAGGGGAAAGGTTGTTTTTAGGTCAAAACATCCCAATCCATCTACAGTCGCCATAGTGATCTGAACGCCTGGCAGCTCAAGGCTCATGCAAAACAATCTAAAAATATATGCCTAAAACAGTGTACATAACGAATGGCCCTAACAAGTTTATTTTGCCCTCAAACACATATTAATTTAGTCAGCGGGGGGCTAGTAAAATTGCTTCGCTTGGACACAGTTTGACGCGTGCGTATATGCATTTATTAACATACATTACACCAGGCAGTGGAGATAAGGCATGATGATTCCCAGCATGTGAATACTGACTGGCTAAAATGAGGTTGGTTAAAAATTGCTGTATAGTCGGCTCACACGGGGCTCCAGTAATGGTTCTTGAAATAAAGTGCGACTCTCATCTTTGAAAGTGCACACTGCTCTTTTAACTCCCAGACAAATGAGTTTACACAATGAGAACACACTGCAGCCAGCGTAAAGTTATGGCGTGTAAAAGAGACTATATTTATTGTCCGCAAATAAAAGTTTCCCTAAATAACCTCCTGATAGCATGCTCTAATCTTAGAAGGAAATCCAATCTTCCCAGATGGGGTGGGACTACATTAGCAGTTCTGCTCGTCAGCTTGTATTTTTCAAATAGAAAGCTATATCGGGTTTAACTATCTCTGCAGGAAAGTGCGTTTGTTGTGGCAGTAAGTGATGCTCTGAAACAATGCATATAAATGTGACAGAGATACTGATCAAAACAAGAAAACATGATACAGTGGGAGGAACTTTGCCAAGACGAGCTCATCTCATTCTTATATAACTACAGAAGATACAACACGAAACATTAACCTTTAAAGGACCCATATTGCGCTATTTTTCTATGTTATAATGATGTGGTTTCCTCATCACATACCTAGAGTTGTGTTTTGTTTCATTCACACAAACATTGCATATTCAGGCTGAAAACACTCTGTTCATGTGGTAAGTGCTCCACTGTCTTTTTAAACTACATATACCTTCACTATAATTATTTGGATAATTTCAGCCTTGGAATTGACAATCTCTACTGAACTAAAGATAAAAGGTAGCTGTTAACTTGAAAATTACTGCTTCATGCCGTCACAAGGTGGAACAAAGTATTTTGAGCTTTGGAGATGTTGACAGACAATAAATAATAAAGGGTTACTCAAAGACAAGACAAAAGATCCTAAACTTTACTATACTGATAGCTATCAAACCTCAGGTGTAGAATAGGAGGGGGACAAAAAAAGAAAAGATTCTCAATCCTTGTTTCCTGAACGAAGGACACATTCAATTCAACAAGCTTTGTGTCCAGATGAGTACAATGTTCCTATGACTTGGAAATGAAAGCTGTCAATAGAAATACCTACGTGACCTTGACCCTAATGACGTCCTTCTGAAATGACTATCCAACACAAAGAGTATATAAACTAGGTTTGTTGGGTCCATTTAGTAAGTTAATAGTATCTCTGTCTGGGGGTTTTGAAGTTTGAATGCCAATAGAACAAATGGTGCTTGAACCAGGGACACAATCTAATCAATTTGCATCAGGCCTTCCGTATTAATAAAGTAGAGCGGAGGAAAACTAATTCAGTACAAAAAAGTAGTTGATACAGCAACTTAGTCCAATAGTCTTGATTTCACGTTGACTTGAAATCATATAAATTACCGCTTTTAGAGACATACTTCTACCGTTTCTATTATCTCGTCCCTTAGCAGAATGCATTCAGTTTGCTATAGTAAAGCTGAATATTGTCCTTGGCAGAATGTAGTTATGATGTATGGACACATATGATCTGCCATCACTAACAATGACTACAGATGTGACAGGCGTACAGCACAGTCTCACAGTGAGAGTCGTTTTTGAAATGCTAACTCACTGTTCACACATGTATGCACACAACACATATATCTGTATCCATGTAGGAGTATTTGTATTAGAATAGCAAGCCTCATTCAGCTGCACTTCACATACTAAAGCCCAGCGCAATAACGCCAGCGTCCGAGGTGGAGTCCAAGACAAACTCAATTAGGGAGAGGGTCTTTCTTACTGCATCTAGTTCCAATACACCTTCTCTAACAAGAGTGTGCTTATTTAAATGTCAACCATAATTAAATGAATGAACAAGGACTTATCTGAACACAGTTAGCATAACAAGAAGGATGGTCCCCTTATTATTTCATAACCTCCTGTCTCTCCCAGTAGCTATGCGTAGAGTCACTCAGTGCAGCATATTTACAATACATCCTTGTGGTTCTTCCATAGCTTCCAATGTGAATCCACTAGAAATCGATTTATTGCAGTTTTCTTTATTAAACAGTCAGTGATGTAGTGATTTGATGTAGATTTGTAAGCGCAGTTTAATAGATTAAGTTATAGAAAGGGTGGTTGGAATAGAGACATTACTTGCATTGGAGTGCCATTACTCCTCTGAAACAGGGAGGGGTCACTGTCTAACACTATGATTATGCCACTCTGTGTCCTAATGAGAGGTGCAGCATTCAGAAACACGACATGACCTTAGCTCTGACTGCATACAAGAAAGGTGTGATGAAAATTTAACCATGCTAATTCACCATTCTTCCTGTTTCACACCATACACATATATATCCAATTAGAACACGTAACACCTCCGAAACCATCTTAAATCCAGAACATGTATTTTGTGATTTGAGGCCATACTTTATTCGTCTCACTGGAGCAATTGTGTTTAAGTGCTGATCTCCAGGGCCCACATGGGACCAAGAGCCCCCTCATAAAGTGTTTTAGGCCCAATCAGAACACTGGAGGAAACATTACAAAGTACACCATATTTTATAAGTCAAGCAGCACATCCTGAAGCTGACATGAGAAGTGCTTCCCTGCTGCAATGAACCCAAAAACCCCAAACCACAATTTAGCACATAGTGAATATATTCAGGCCGGAGCATAATGGGAGGAAGACGATCCCTGTGCTGTTTTTCTTTGCTACTGTAGGTGTTGGCAGGGATCCTCTCGCTCTTGCAGCAGCACAAAGCCTGGAGTAGACACTTGCCGAGTCGAAACCCTGAAGGCATCCAAAGAATCTTCTATAACAAAATGTACAGAAACCAGTGGCTCACAGTGACTAATGTCATCAAAGCACAGCGCTGTCCTGGAATACGGCGTAAATGAAGACACACACATGCATGAGTGCGCACATGCGAGTCTGTGCTGTGCTGCTGTTTGTACAGCCCAGTCAAAGGAGCACAGACACAAGCAGCGAGAGGCAGAAACGCACTTGAATACTGTAGAACAAAGGAGTTAAAAAGAGGACCAGTACCCACAGGAGCTTTCTTAAGCATCTTTGCCAAGTAGTCATGGTGTCCATGGACAGCCCCCCTAACGGGCCCCACCCCTGGCACTCATGCATAAAACATGTCTGCTCTAAGAGGCCCACACCCCTGCTCCTATCGACATGCACATCCAAAGAGACAATTGAAAAAATAACAATGGGCTTACTTATGCAGATAAACACATAGAGAGGCCGCTGAAGTTGTAATGCAGCATGTAAAGGAAAATAGCTTTTAGTAATCTGCATTGTGCACCTGCGTTTTACTGGTAAGAGGTTATAGGGTTTAAAGTGATGGCCAGAGCTCATGCACGTACAAACACATCCAAAGAGCTGCTTCAACAGAAACACGGAGCTCAATCGATGCAGCGTGCTGCTGTGGAGAAGGCGGACACACATGAGGCTCTATCACTCATCCGCACAGCCGCTGCAACACTGCTTTCCTATTGTTTTTCACTCTTCCTTTGCGAGCCGTTGACAGACAATCACACATGATTAAAGACTGTCCACTAGCAGCATGACGCTGCTGGCTTAAATGGAGCACGTCTAATTACTGCAATAAGGGAGCGAAAGGCTGGGGTGCATACTAAAAAGAAATCCATACACAAGTGCACAGCGAGGAGATGGCTGTGCAGCACATGTTTGATGCTTCCTCAGTGACAAGCACAAAAGAAGAATGAGCGATGTAGTAATATGAGGGAAGGTCAGAGACAGCCAATGTGCTGCGTGGTGATTTAGACAGAGAGCCCCACTGTAAATCAGACACAACTCTGGGCATTTAATAAGAGACAACAAGTGAAATGCACTTCCCCTTACATGCAACCCAAACACTGACAAAACAACTGCAACTGATGTGCTGTACACAGCATGTCGCCTGGAGACACAGGCTGAAATATTAATGTGGGTACACATTTACAATTACTGATTATTGGATTTGAGGCTAGTCAATATTGATGAATCTTCTCATCCTTCAATTCCACACTACTGCTCGTGTACAACAGGCCCGCGTGTTTCCCCAATCACAGCCGCTCATGTATCTAATGAAGAACTGTAGATTATACGGTGATTATTTGAATGACCCTCTCTGAATTATTTTTTGCCTAATAGCTCCAAAGTAATGATCCTTTTCTTTATAGCTTTGTTAAACACACTCCCATACACACACATGGAGCCGCGGATAATTAACAATCAAGATAATGTCTGTGACAACTCTGGCTTGTCAGATGAAACCCATCGTGGGGCGAGCACCTTTTTTATTTTTCTCCTCAAAGCACAGTAACGCGCTCCTGTTGTTCTGCGCTGTGGATGATTCATTGATATGACAGAGGTAATGATGCCAGGAGAAGGGCCACACATCCTGCAGCACCATTCAAACCTGCTGCTAGTCCGGATAGCTCCAGTAACCCCATGTTCGAATGTCATCGCCCTCCCTCTCTCCAATAGGACACTGCTCGCCCCCAAACCCCCACCCCTGTACATTTCAACCGTTTTCTCTCTTTACCCCTTAGGCCCCGCCTCTTCCCGAGCCCTCTCAAGCCTGTGACATCATTAAGCACATGTTGTTCAAACAGCGGTGATGATTGCCGAGACCACCCCACCCCCCGCTCTCTCCCACCTTCCCCTGTGTCGCGGTAAACCAGTAGATAGCGGCCCATAAATAATAAAGATCCCCGC